GAGGCAACGCCGTGGGTTCTGCAGCATCGTTGAACGTGTGGAGCGCTCCTCATCATTCCTTTCTCGTGTCCTCTCAATTTCCATAACGCACACACACACATACACATTCATTCACAATAGTATCACACATGTCAGGAGACTAATCTGGAGCTGAGAACTTGTCTTGTCCGGGTAGGTGATCCACTGGGAGAGGTGCATGAAGGATGAACAACCTGTAAGATGATGTGAAGATGGAAGTCGGATTTCACTTCCCAGGGTTGGAGGTTCAGATAGGGGTCACATCTCGGAATATAACATAGACTATACCTACGAGATTAATATTCTAGTTGCTGGGCGCCCGAAATCAATACTCACTTCAAACCATTGACGGTAAATCGCCCACATATTTTTGACCGTATTTATATTAAACAAATCTTTGTAAAGACGTCCAGGCCTTGAGAATGTTGGTACGTTGAATGCTCAGAAGTTAGAACCGGTAAAGTGGGCATATGCGCAATACTTATACATATGCGCAAAATCTAATTCACAAAAATCAATGTTGATTGTTTGTACACATTTTATGCGCTGCCATATAGTTCATTATTGGGATAAAACTTTGTTGACTTATTATTTGCCCTTGCGCAACGATTATACGCATAATACAATGGAAATGTGCGTATGTCGTTTGCACATAGACCCAAAATGGGGGCATTGTTGATTATTATTTATGAGTTTATAGTCATACGCTCCTGAACAGAAGCTCTTCGGAACTCCCGCACCCTAAAGTATTTAGCCCGTCTTCGCTGTACATTCTACTCTGCGATTGTGAAATCTGGGACACGTTTGAAGTGAATTGAACGTTATCTCAGACAAGTAAATCAAATTTCTGCAAGACATAGCATAGCGAACGCAATGCGAATGCTGTCATAGCGAATGCATGTACAAACGTAAGGGATAACGCTTTAACAGTAGGATATTTGACAACCATTTCCAAACCAGGACGTAGAACAAACCCCATACTCGTGAGAAAGTCTTTAATAAAATTTTAGTGCGTGTGAAGTACAATAAATTGCAATAGCGAATTATTGCCAGACCCACTATTCTCTGATAATATTGAATTTTTATGATAAATGAAGAATGACCTCAAAACGCATTATACTCACAAACTGTAGAATTATTTTCTTAGAGGGACTAAGCCCAAGTATGCTTAAGATAGTTTAACATCATCTTGGTTAAACACATTTTGAGCGTTTACATTTCTCCACGTGATGCCGAATCTCAGCCCATTTGTCAGCAGTGGCTCGCGCACGCGGTCTGTTGGTGCGCGTGAAGACGCGCGAAATGCGTGCATTCGCCTCGGCCGGCGCTTGGAGAAATGCCAAGGCCCCGCGCGCCGCGAGTGCGTGACCCCACGTGATCCCGGGTGACGCACTCTCGCCGGCGCGTGGGGCGGCGCGGCCCAGGTGCAGCAGTCGGGGGACCTCCGCCGCCGCATTGAACTTTCGCGAACGACCCCGCGCGGCCTCCCGTCCGTAAATCGTTCTCGCGGCAGGAATGAAGAACGAGAAGCCGGTTCGCCGAGATTCGGTCCCGGGTTCGGTACACAAAACCTGGCGGTTTCAGGCGACACGGGTCACGATGACGACGGGATTCTTAAACGCCCGAGCGGGGGTGTTCTTCATTCTGTCAGCCGATGGGTGCACCGAAACCTTTTTACAGTCTTACTTTGGTACTCTTGACCTACTAACGGGTTACTGGTTAAATCTTATTACAGGAAAGGTCATCAAAATGAGAGTTTCTTATGAATTAAAATTGGAATAATCACGGAAAAGAATGAATTCGTCCAAACATTTTCCTTGTGAGAATAAAAAAAATATATAAAACGTCAATAAATATAAAAATATCATACATTTAAGACGTGGGGAGATTAATAACATGTCATCTGAAAATATTTTAACCGTCAGCACCGGTAGACATGGGAGTGAAATGTATTGTATGAAAATACAAAAATCAAGGATGATATTATTATTATTATTATTAATATTATTATTATTATTATTATTTATTATTATTAATATAAATTAATTAATTATTATGATTAATTATTATTAATTAAATAATAATAATAATAATAATAATAATAATAATAATAATAATAATAATAATAATAATAATACAATTTATCTGTTTCACTTGATGAAATATGTTGATATGTTTCCGCGCAAACATTTGGCAGTCGTTATTTTGCTGGATATAATAGAAATCTCAATTCTTGGAATACGGAACATAAACAATGTTAAAGGCATTGAGCCCTTCGTTTCTGGGTTGTAAGAAGAGGTTTCTGAGTATTGAACTGTGTTGCAGAATTGTGTTGCGGGTTGCATGCGCTTGCCTCCTTCCTCTTGACACCATAATCTGCGAACTTTTTTTTTCTGTTTTAAATTTTTTTCGTCTGAAATCTGTTTGGTGCACGACTGGGGAGTAACACCCTTTCTAGAAGTAGCACATTCGCAGGGTTTTGTGCCGATGGTTTTTTACTTGTGGTAAAAAATTAATCTTTTCATAGGCTGCCAGGAATCATCAATCAATCAACAAGAGTGTGCAGGGAAGTGACCCCCTAAACATTTTGAAATGGGCTCCCGGTGTCTTACGCAATAAAATATTTCAATTCCATTAATATTTTAGTTCTAAAAAATGACATAGGATATATAAATATATTTTAATACTTGATGACTAACAGATGATCATATTAATCTAACCATTTAGTTACTATTCTTAGTAAGTTATCCCTCTTATGTTTCAGTATGTATTATTGCCTAAGGATATACATTTTGAAACGTATCGCTCTTTAACGTAGTTGTAAAAGCCAAACCCTTATGTTCTGTATGAAAATCAAATCGTTGATTCCAAATTTTTCAGTTATTACAATTAATTTTTATTTAACCTACGAATTCAAACGAGGTAAAAACCTGAAGAAATTTTGGAATATTCCCTTGAAAGGTGGCCACTTTAGACTAGATTCTCCTGGCACAGATACATTGGTATCTCTAAAATGAGTAAAAAAAATCCAAAATCGGACAAAATTGGATAAATACGTCGGTATAATGAATTAAACAACCAGAAAAATGCTGCTAAGTCGTAGGTGATATCTCCTATAAATGTCCCCAAATACATTTCTAAGATAAAAAAAATAGACTGAAAATTGATGTACAACTAAAAAACCATATGAAAACGAAAATATCTTAACGAGTAAGTGAACTTCACAAATTAATGTCAGCCCCCTCTCCTGTTTGCCTGCGCACGCCTATCCTTTTTTCCTTACAGTATTGTGATATACAGAGATGAGGCGATGTTTTTTAACGGCAAAATTGAGAAAAATGTTTGATGTGTTGTTTCGTATGATTAGAACAAAAAACCTGATACAATAATTTCCAGCTGCATAGTTCGCGGCGTCCCGAAAGTCATGTGTGACCGCCGCTCACAGCGGGGTGGCTTCATATCGAGTTCGTAAATTATAAGCTTTGCGGAACTTGAGCGACGCAGCGCAGCACAGCCGATGCCGTTACGGGCCGCGCGTTCCGTAATTAGTTTCCATCGCCAGCCGATTCATCGCGCGCCGCTTTGTGCGCGGTCAAACAGGCGCGCGCGCGACGAGACGAGTAATTACCGGATTAAAGGCAGGTTACGCCGCCGCGCTTTCACGCCGATGGCGTTGACAAGCGCAGCCAGCGGTGTCGACCACGCGCAACGCCACTTCGCGCTGCTTCGCGCGCGGACCTGCGAATTGGCTCTGGGCGCCAGCGCTAGCGTTGTTTCCAGGCTGCCTCTCAAGATTCAGTCCCAGTGAGCAAAATATACTTGAGTAAGTTGGCGGTAAGAGAATGTGATGGTAAGACTTTTTCGAAAAAAATACAGTATTGACCTTTACATCTAATTCATTGGATTTGATCTCTGTAATTTGGCCGAGAATAGTACATTATTTCAGTAGCGAATAGGGTGGAAATACTTCAGTCTAATAGTATGAAATACTCCAATAATTATTATATAAGTTATCACTTGGCACTGCAATCGACAGATAAACAAGTTAAGAAGAAAATATATAACTCAGATTGTACTTATACTACCCAACAAACATATCAAATCCAATAATGTAATGTTATAGAACTATATGAGACTATTTGATCTACCGTAAAAAATAAATATGATCACTTTAAAAAATGTGGATAATAAGCGGTTAGAGTGAAAGTGATATAAAACTTTACTTGCTCGTTTTGTCCATTATTATTACTTACTTTAAAACTATTTAATATAAATTATATCTTTTTTTAAATTATTACCATACATATTTTTTCGAGAATTGATTCTTAGTGCATTTTAGTGTCAGGAAGCGTTACCTATGACAAAGCAAGGCCGTCGATTTTGAAGAAAGCACAGGGAAAAGGGTATTTGGCTTTATTCCCAGTTTTCTGTTTATGTAGAAATAAATTCCTTTCAGGGTTTTCTCTTACCAATTATCTACTTTCTCTTACATTATAGAATATTTCACTACTTATTGTCGTTAGATGATGGCGTTCTTCGTTTTATAACTATGGGCGCCATTATGCTGAACTGCGATTATTTTTACTACTAGATATTTCCAGGATACATCTTAATCGATGTTCATCAACAATAATTATTGAAAATCGATTTCTGGAAACGCATTTAGTGATGAACTTTGGAAGATATAATATTTGCTCACTTCATGTATAGAATTTTATGGACACTTAGTTTAAAAGATCCTGGCTAAAACATCTTCTGTGCTGCATATGTTTCAAATTAGAAACCATCTTGTACCGTTTGCCAGTCACCGGCCGCCAACTACGAGAGTGCGCTGCGAGTCCCAAAGTGGCAAAGAGCTGGAACCGCGGCCGAGATCAGAAGCTCCATTCCCCGCCTGGGCCTCGGCGGAAGGCGCGGCGTCAAACGCTTGGGGTACCGCGGCGCGGCGCGGGCCCTGCGCGCAACGGGATGACGCCGGTGCGATGCGTCAGAGTCAGCGAGCGGCCGCGTTGCCAAACGCCCGGCGGCGCTCCCGGCGCGCCATTCATCGGCGAGCGACTCCCTCCTCGCGGCGGCGCTCGCTTTCCGTTACGTCGCTCGAGTTGCGTCGCTTTGCGACTGTGTGCTCGCCCGTAAGCACTCAGCGAAGGCCATTTTGCCGCGCTCGAGTTGGTACTTAGTTTTCATCTGGCATTAAATAACCATCTGGTTTAAGTCTTGGAAAGTCGATTAGTCTATTTATGTTGAACGGTACCGGAGAACTGGGAACGATACAACCGTTTTCAAATTGAAGTTTCATTGACTGTACGTAGAGCAAAAGTTAGCAGTACCCTTATTTGTACCTTCGTCCTTTAAAGCAACCTACAGTTTTGATAGATTCTTCAAAATGTTCACGTACCAACATATTCTCTTACCACGATGCATTCCCTTTAACACGTCCTTTTCTTGAAATATTCTCTGAAAATAAAGGGGTATAAGTGAAGGGTTGATAAATAAGTATTTCCGTTTCCTGTATTCAAGATAAGATACTGTTTCTTCAATTAAAAATGAATAAAATTCAAATAGCTTTAGAGAAAAAATATTTAGAGGCAAGAAAATTTATTTTCTTTCCTTTACAGTGGCCTGAAAAAATAATTGCATCCGGTAATAACAAATAGTAATCGGACCATAACTTTCATAATTTAGTTACGGTTTATACTTCTAGTACAAAGAACGTTACATTGGAATAACTGGTCAACATTACATCGTGTCGTAATTAACGTTCGCGATTATTAAAACTAAAACAGAATACAAATCCCCTTTTCTTGAGCATATGAGTTGAGGTTTTTGCATTTAATTTTACCTTAATTACGTCCATCTCTTTCATTTCCCCACATTTTAAACACCATATCTTTCACTGCATTTTATTCTCATTCACTTATCTTCACCTCTTCTTGCATGCTTATTCCATTCCCTCGCCACGCGATCAAGCTTTCCTCCACCATCTTCTCATCTTCCTTCCTTTTCTTCTTTGTCGTTTCTTCTCTCGTTTTCTTTGTCTTTTCCTCCTTTACATCTCGTGCCTTGTTTCTTCCCTCATTTTTTTCACCACGCCCACATTCCTACATTCCGCAATTTTTGTTCATTCCACATTTATTTCATTTCCGTCATTTGTCCATCTTTTTAATGTCTCTTTACGGCATTTTCTTCCCTCTCCTTTTTCATCTTCTCCTACTTCCTTCCTTCCATTTCCGCCTTCCATTCAATATTTCTTCTCGCTCCCACCCCTACAATTGATCTGATTAGTGAGGGCTGGATTTCAATTAAATGTGTACTTTTTCAGCAATCAGAAAGTATGCTTGGTATGAGTACGAAAATCCAATTTCTTTTATAAATCCCACACCTTCTTTATGATGTATGTAATGTATGTTTTGCCCGTTCTATCATTAAGCATCACATTTCTGAAAATTGAAAATTTTGCATATTTATCTTTAAAATATATATGTATTCATATATTAAGTTCTATTTATTTTAAAGCATAAATTATTTTTTAGTTGCAATGCAATTTTGTGTTTAATTACTTAGTTGCAGCTTATATCAATTTTCTGAACTGAACTCTGCCGGAAATATAACGAGAAAATTATCGTTTCAATCAATTCGGTCTGTCAAGTTTATTTGGAAAGAAGGAAACCCTAATGAACTCTCGCACGGGTCTTCCATTGCCTCCAATCCAACAAATCACCAAGACGTATCTCGCCCATATGTAAACAAGATAGGATTCAAAGTAAAAAGTGCTTTCGGGTATAATGGTTTATGTAATTCATGCTGTAAAACTTATTTTAGTGCTTATTTTCGAATTTTTTGGTGCATAAATGCATACCGCATATTTAATAGATTATTAGAGCGTGCAGAGCCCTGCTGATTAGCTCATGCGAGGCGGCCAGAGGCGCATTTCCTTCCGGCGGAGCGGTCGCTGCGCGGGCGAGCGGGGTTCCCAGGCGGCGCTGGTGTTGCCGGGAGCCGCTTGTCTCGCGCGGAGGCTCCTTTCTCCGGGTGACGTAACGCCCGAAGGAGGCCACGTGGGTCCCGGGTTCGACGCTACGCGCCGCGAAAGGTCCAGCGCCAGGCAGCCGGCCCGTCGGCCAGACAGCAGAAATGCCGATGACGTGTACCTCCCAGGCTCCTTCGCAACACGATTCTTCTTCTCTGTACTTTCAGATGTCTGACGTGTTGTTTTGATTTATTTCACGGATGTTCTTACGGAGGAGGAATGCCCGTTATGAGTATTCAAGTATCTTTCTGCTCTGACTAATTGAACTCCATAACAACAAATACCGATATTTACAACCCTTGAAATGAAACCATATCAGTCACCTCGGCAATAACATTCCAATTAAATAAAACATTTATTAAACATTAACTATTGAAAGCAATTAGGTTGTGTAAAACTGGTGTGTTTCTTCTTGCTTACAGAACCTTTAAAAGCATTGATTTTCCGCTGCTGTAGGTACCTCGTTTCCTTCACAGATTTTATTTGCGTATTCTATAGCGAATCACTGGCCAAAAACGTGTTTCTATGCATTTAACACAAACAATATTGTTTTTCATGAAATGTCATTTAAGAAATATTGCCCTAAACTTCGTATTCATATTTTGGTAATGGTATTTCGTAATAGTGTTAGAAAAGAAGTATTTTGTGTGTTTTTTACAAGTGGTATAAACAAGGCAGACGATTCTGCAACGAAAGTCGACAAGGATTGAAAACTAAGAACCCTTTTCAATTAACATGTTTCCTGGTAATTGGCTTTTTTTGTCCCTTTTTCCTTTGCTGTTCGATGTGCGTCTAAGTGTGATTGTTGCGGTGTTGCAGGTGGCGCGGCCCTGCGGCGGCGCGCTTCTGGCGTGCGCGCTGCTGGCGGCGTGGTGGGCGGGCGCGGCGCGGCGGCGCGTGCCGTGCGGCGGGCTGCACCGGCGACCTTGACGCTGACGCTGCCCTTGCCAGTGGGACGTGCTGCTGCCGACAGCGGGCGACAGCCCGGCCCGGAGCACTGGCGGCGGACTGCGACCGGCGTGGCCGCGCAGCCGAATACGCTGCCGCTCCGCCTTCGCGCGCCGCATCGTGGCCCTGCGCCAGCCGCTTCGCCGGCCGCCAGGCCTCTGCCGCCGCCCGCGCTCGCCGCGCCCGCTGCGCACGCTCGACCTCTCGCACAAACCTCCTTGCGCGCCTCTCCGACAGGTGGGGCTTCACTCTCTTCATTCATTGATTGATTAGTGTTTCCAGGCGCGTCAGCTTCTAAAGTCATTAATACTGTAAGTGTAGTGCATGTTTTGATCGGGAGCTGGCGGTCTTCTTCCTCCGTTAAATGGTGACATTCAGCGCCGACCTATTAATTGATTGACTGGTTAGTGATTCCAGGCGCGTCAACTGCTAACTCATTACTCCCGTAAGTGTAGTGCACGTTTTTTCTCTCGGAAGCTGGCGGTCTTCTTCTTCCATTAAATGGTGCGATTCAGCGCCGACCTATTGGTCGATAGATTACTGATTCCGGGCGTGTCAACGGCTGAAGTCATTACTCCCGTAGGCGTAGTGCATGTTTTGCTCGTAAGTTGGCGATGATCTTTCCCTGATAGATGTGACATCCAGCACCGGCCTACGGTCGGCCAGCTGGGTTTTCCCCAATCAGGTGTCTTCCATCAACGGGACACTACCGCAGCCGGGACAAATTCTAAGCTCCTGATCCGTCTCCCGACGTGTGAGGTGGTGTAATGCATGTAAATGTGTGTGTAAGTAAGGGGTAGGATAGGACAAGGAAAGGGAAGGAAAGACTACGCGCGGTCCGTGGCCCGCATGTTAGGTTACTGCTCCTGCATTCGCCTGGTGTTGAACGAAGAAACCACGGAAAACTAAGGATCAGAGCAGACGGCCGCTAGAATTATCCTCCAAACGGCGTTAGAACTGGATCCAGCTATCTATACTTCGATTTAAACAGAGAGACTTCTGACATAATTCAGCTGTTACGATGTTATCCAACCATGAGGGTGAACATGACCATAGTGACGTCATTGTAGGGACGATTAAGCTCCCGATTGGATGACACCGTAACAGCTGATGATCTGTCAAAGGATAAAATAAATAAATGGAAGCGTGCCCTGTGTGGAAAATCCTACCAACTCAGGCCTCGAATCTAGGACGGGGGATAGTAAGTCGGTGTTAGTTAATGATGGATCTCAGGTTCCAGCGTGAGAAGAACTACACTACATACCCGGAAATAACAAGCAATTCACTTATGACACTGATAGCTTCAGTATTTTACGCGCTCTGGAACAATAAATACTTCATTACAATTTTCACTGATTTCCTTTCTTCCTTGTTGTTACTTTCTTTCCTATTTCTTCTTTCCGTATCTTGTCTAGTTCATTATAAATTCCTTCACATCCACTTACCTTCTTTCATGTACAAACATTGTCTTCACCGTTCCCTATTTATTCCGACATCCCTCACCAAATCTTCTTAACGTCCCTTCCTAATATCATACAAGAACGGTAATATTATTATTATTATTATTATTATTATTATTATTATTATTATTGTTATTATCATTATTATTATTAATGTAAGTGTTGTAATTTTTGGCAATTATTGCCATAAACTGCCACCGGGTCACACCCAATTGCAGTTCTAATAAATGTGTGTATGTATGTAAGAAAGGTATATTCTTCCTCTATGCAATTTCAACGCTTTCTTTCCTTCTCCCTTTCTTTACCTTCTTCTGCTTCTTCGCAAATTCGTCCTTCCTTCCCGTTTTATTATCTTCCTCTTTCTGTTTCGTATCTTTACTTTCCTATCTGTCACCGGTTGAGTCAGTCAACAGAGTTGTCTCGGCAAAAGTACTGACCGTGAGTTCCTAAGGTTCACGCCCTGGCTGTGGCGAATTATCCACACAAACATAGCTAGATCGAATTCATCTACCATCCAGAGAAGAATTCTAGCAATGGCCGCTCTAATCATTAGTTTTCCATGATTTCTTCTATCATTTCCAGGCGAATACTAGAAGAGTATCCTAAGAAACGGACTACATGTGGCGTGCGACCTTCCTCTTCCTTATCCTATCGTCTTCCCTTAATCACACTCACTATTACTGGCAATGTAAATGTACGGCCAGTGGAATCTTACAACTTGCCCCGACTGGGGCGGTGCCCCGCAAGTGGGAGAGATCTGGTTGGGGAAATCCCCCACCAGCCGACGAGTAGGTCGTCACCGGATCTCACCATCCAGCGGAGGAGAAAGACCTCTTTCCCCTCGAAATAATATATTCACTCTATTAATTAGAGTAATAATCACAATAGTTGACGTGCTTGGAAAAAATAATCTATCAATCAATTTTTTCTAATTCAGGGAGAGCTGTACTTACTTATATCGAAAATTGAATTTATAATGTCGAAAGTATATGGTAGAATGTAAAATCACTGTATGCCATTGTTTCATTTAAATAGATCCTTTTGCTTTCCAACGAGAAATGGTTTGACTTCAATACAAATAATATAATACTAGCAATAATTTTATTTATTGGTGATATAAAAATAATACGGTACACATATCATTGTTTATAATCAATCTATAATTATTCACCTACTTTTGTGGAATCCCTGTCACAATAGAAAACTTAAGTTGTGGGAAAATTACATTATATTATTATATTCGCAAATTTAAAACAACTTAAGAAATCGTTATTAAATCAAGACTATTTAAAGGTAAAGAAATAATAATGCTTGAGACATGTTGTGCACATGACTCAGTCACACTTTCCTCTTGGACTTCCCCGTTGGATTTCCCTCTTGCCGTCTAGAACAAGCTGCTGCGTAGACCCTCGCAGGTGCGACAGGTGATTTAATGGGGCAGAGCACGGAATTAACGCTAACGGCGCAGAGTAATTCACATTTATGTAGCGCAATGGGGAGGTGTAAAGGGGTAACAAATGGAACTGTTTGTCATGGGTTTAGCGCAACGAAGGGTAATGTATCATTTAATTCATAATGAACTCCTAGATTGTCGTAAATGATACCTTACCTCATAAATTGCGTTTCCTGTTTATCATAATCTTGAAAGCACGATTGACATAAATACATTCTGTATTCACTTTTTGCAAATACAAATATTGTGACACGGAATGAAATTTTTTTTTCCAACAATTGCTACGATGCACCGTTTTTCTATAATAGAAATTTTCCAACACAGAAAAATAATATTATTTTTAACGTTTGTAAACTCCAACCACTGCTACAAGGAATTTCTTTGAAGGTATGTAATCCCTGTGTACTAGGATTATTGGCTGAGGTTCCTAAAGTAATACTTACGAAACCAAGAAAAGTGGAGCTGCGAGGTTTCCTAATTTTACTGCGATTTTTGCAATTCGGCCCTAACAGGTATCAGCTGTTGACAGTTTCATCCAATCGGAAGCTAAAACGTCACCTTAGTAATGTCACTATGGTGACGTTCAAGCTCCCGATTTGATGAAACAGCTGATACGTAGCAGGGGCGGAATTGTGCAAATCGCAGTATAAACGTATAAACCATTGTTTAATTAGAAAACCCTAAATTTTTAAAATGAAATTAAGACCTCATGTAAAGTATCTCAAAAAATAAAAATATCCATTTCAAACATAGAGGGCATGGAGTTCCTTTAAATATATCATTGAATATCAATTTTGGAGAAAATTAAAAAGAAAGAAATCTATAATTTACTCCTACATAATTTTTCAATGAACATCTAATGATAAATATGCGCCTGTAAACCCAACGAACAAAAACGGTTTGTCCTTATTTAAAAGCTAATGCTCATAGTCAAGAAATTCCTCTCTTTTATCTCCTGAATTGATTAAATGGCAATTATACAGGAAGTCCCGTTTATGGGCCACGATCTAACTTCTAAATGGGTCGCGATATCGAAATGCAGTTTTCGCTAAACATTACGGAATCATGGGGGAAGTAATATTGTGTAGAGATATTATTTGAAATATTTTTAAATTTCGAGAAATTTAATAATTTTCGTTTTTTAAAGTGAAACCGTATGTTTTTCTCACTGGTCATTGATAATAAAAATAGGAATGTAATGATATAATATATGTCAATGTTTGTCTAGTAGTATTTTGAATATAAAATTATACTTTCTGAAATGTGCTTTTAAATTGAACGTTCAATATTTCCTGTAGCAGCCCTCGCAACTGTCGCATTGGAGAAGATGGCCTTCACGGTCCCACCCCTCTCCCTGCAAAAGTACCGTAGCCGCAAAGGCCACATTCCACAAAGGCAACAGTTGCAAAAGCTACTGCGGGAATTATTATACGTTTAATTTAAAATCACATGTAAGAAAGTATAATTTTATATTCAAAACACTAGCAAAACATTCTCATACGTTACATCATTTCATTCCTCAGTTTCTGCTCTATTACTAGTGAGAAAAATGCAGTTTCTATTTAAAAAATCAAAGATGATTCAATTTCTCGAAAACTAAAAACATTTCAAACAAGATAACTTCTTGATTACGCGTTTTTGAGCGAAAATTGTATTTTCAGTATCGCGAACAGTTCAAAAATTACGGGGTGGTCCATAGTTGGTGAGTCTCCTTGTGTACCTATATTTTGTTACACATGCATTGACTTGTAATGCTCAAAAAAATACTATGCGCTTATTCGCCAATCTCATTTTCGTAAGATAAGTAAAACTACATCGCTTAAGCAAAGTTCCTTGTGGTGCATTACGTTATCATGTTGAAGTTCTATTGTACTTTCGCAATCGGAAGCGATAGCGCATAGGGGAGCGAGCAAAGCTTGTTTGCAGTTAAGCTTATCTGTAAGTCATCTAGGTACGCAACGTAGGGCAACATAAATGGAGACGCATACGTGACCAGCAGGCGGACGCTTGGACTGAAAAACAGGCAGTCAGGCGCTTTTGGAAAACAACAACAACAACAACAACAAAGAAATCAGGAATCTTGAAAATGAAAATTTTGAACAAAATCTCGAAATTAATTTTTCTGGGCATTCTATAATATATCTCGGAAAAATCACTCGGTTTCCACAGGAAAATGGTCAAAACCTATATGACCGCTGACGTAGCTATTTTGTCAGGTCTCATTGTCGCACTCTTCTTTTAATTAAAATTAAAAATAAAAAGTCACTAGTGTAATTGTTCAGACACTCGTGTTCAAACGTTTCTCAAAAATTTTCTCACTCGTGTTCAAACGTATTCAAATGTTTCTCAAAAATTACTTCAAATTTATTGATTAAACTATTTCCCCAGTAATGAGAAAGAACCCCCAGAAGGCGGGGCAAGTCTCAATTGCATCGAACTATTCGGATTTTCGAAAATCTTGGAATAAATAAATCTTTAAATAAGGTCATCTTGAACGATGTAAGTAGTTAGTGCTCAGTTTTGAGTGAAATATACGCAAGTTTAAAAATATTATTTTCTCAAAGTGGCTCCAAATATTTTCTTTATTTTTTCTGGAATACGAAACTCCCTACAGTTTTGAAAATGGAACTATACATTAAGAATAGAGATTTTTTCTTAATATTTAAAAAAATAGATAATTAAAGAGTCATGAATAGATTTTTGAAAAAAAACAGTAGTTATAATATCTGCTTGAATATTGGCAATTTATATTTTTTCTCAAAAACGAGTCCAAACTTTGTCTTTATTTCCCCCTCAAATAATGAAATCTCTGAGTTTTCGAAAATTGCCAAGGTTTCAAATAATGCGAGAAAGTATGTAGATTTGTAACTACACTAGTTGAGCTTGGTTTTCGATTCCGTAATTACATTACGTCGTCAGCATTGTGAGATTTCAGGAAACCTTAATTATGTTGATATTAAATATATTATGTAGAATTACATAAATACTAATAGACACGGGAATGCTTCGCTCTTGCAACACTTCACATGTTACTGGTCACGTGGTTGTTAATCACGTTTTACACTATGATATGAAAAAAAGTAGATATAACACTTTATCGCGACCATTAGTTTGTTCTATGTCCTGGTTTGGACATGTCAATTATCCTATTCTTAAAATTTCCTCTCAAGTTTGAATATGCATTCACTATAAAACTGTCTTGGAGTAATTTGAATTACTTGTTCGAAATAACATTCAAGTAATAATTCCGGCCAATCTTTCACAAACGCAGGGGCAGTATATGCAGTGAAGAGGCGCTTAATACTAGAGGGTGCGGCGGGTTGCATAGAGACCTTGAGTCAGCATAAACGTATAAAATCATCAACGTGCTTCTATGTGCGACAGATATATGCCTATTCCCAATGTACTATGCCTATATTCTTCGTGCAAGTGCACGCAATAAGATGAAAAAGGTTTATTGCAATCGGATAAAAGGTACAGCAGCGCATAAAATACGAAAAAACAAACATTAATTTTTATATATTTGAATACTTAGTAGTTACTCTTGTGACTTGCATTTATATCTTTGTACGTGTATTATTGTAACTTTAACATATTAATGGTAATTGGATTTCACCATCACTCAAGCATTGACTAAGATCGTTATGGTTTTAGATTCCTGCAAGGCCTGCAGGGCTCTCTGCAGGAGCTGATTCTGTCCGACAACCTGCTGGGCGACAACCTCAACCCCATCTTCTCGAGCTCCGAGCTTCACGGCCTCTCCAAGTTGCGAGTGCTTGATCTCAGTGGAAATCGCATCCGAGGAGTGGAGGAAGGCATTCTCAAGGGCTGCGATGGTCTGCAGGTAGGCAACCTCAGAAACTACACAAATACGAATGATCATGTGGACAAAATAGATATAAAATGTGTCAAATTCCAGGACTTGAGGGATAACAACGAACTTTCAATGAGCTTTTAGCTCAAATGCGTTATCCCGTGCAAAGAAAATAGAGATAATAATTTTGTGGATAAAGGAGTTTTGGGACAATTCAATAATTCAGAGGGACAGGGATAATTTTAAAAGTACTGGTAGAACTTTGAATCAAATTCTACGAAAACGGAAGAAAATTCATATGATTTTCGGTAATTATACGTAAACTGCATTATATGTTAACTTTAAAACGTCCACTCTTTATTTGGACATTTAATGTAAAAATATTTTAATATTCCGAACTTATTTCATTTCCAACGCATTTTAACTATCTTTAGCTTTAGAATACTTTAATCATGCAAGTGCTAGCAATTGTTTTGTAAACATTGAATTCATTTGTGCAGTCTGATATAAAATTATCTAGTGTGCAACTTGGAACAGTTTTAATACAGAACGTTCTCAATGATCTTTATACTTACTAGCATTTAATTCGTAAGAATAGAAATTTATGTAATCGTGTTCCGGAAAACGGTGAATGTTCGACAGAAAAACTCTTATTGCCGGGCTCTGGTAACGAAAAAATAAAAAATTATGTTTTTCTATACAGAAAATTACTTCCTCTATCACGTGGTGTAGACAGAATCCATGTTTTGTGGGTCCTTGATATCGAAACATCGATTGTTGGCAAAACGTCTCTCTGCCCGTCCGTCCAAGTTGCTCAGCGCTAGCGCCTGAATCGTTAGTCGAATTTTTCCAAAATAGATATTCCTCGATCGAGTATAACTTTTTAAAGTCATGTATAATTTTTTTTGAAAATATGTATAGTTTTCGTGCAATGTTGCGCAAAACACTGATAATTTTAATTTTTAAAACATTTTTCTCAAAAATCGCTCCAATTTTTTTCTTCAAATTTTTAATGAGGACCCTTAAAATAATTATGTGGGTCTTATTTAGTTGCATTTTCTGAATTTTCGAAAATTGCAAACTTAGAATTAATACGAGAAAGTATGGGCTGTTGTAGCTCTACTAGTCATACATATCTCCCTCTGAAAACGTTTGCATTTTCTAGGTCATTTCTACATTTATGATAAAGTGAATTGGTGTCTAGCGCCTCTTTGTGACTTCTTTCGACAATGGAAATTCGCATTGGGGCTCGCGCCAACTTCGAATCCCGCGAATTCAAACCATCTGCGTTCTCCGCGATCGCTGAGTGATCGCTTCCGGCTGCGCAATTACTGGTCGACGCCGCGAGATAGCAGGCGCGTTGCTTTCCACCGTTCGAAATGGACGACGTCCGCTTCCCGGTTCCACCCCGATAGGACGACGCAATCTCGCCCCCCTCCCTGGGCGACCGCAGGCGCGCTAGGCTCTGGGCCGCCGCCCTCCCGGATGTGCCTCAGCCGCCACCGCCAAGCAGCCGGCCAGGCTCGCACGCGCTGCGGCCCTACAGCCCCCGAAGCGACTTAGCGCCTAGGGCCAAGGCCTTAGTGACAAGGGCGCCTAGCGGGGCGAAGGCACGGCGGGACAAGAGGTGGGATCATCTAGGGGAAAGGGTCTTGCCACCACATTAACGAGGTATCATGAAAATGATAAATAGCATGTAGCTTATTAGCTTTGAGTGATGGCTTCAGCACTTTAAACTGTTTTAAATGTATTTTCGTAGTGGTTCATTTGAGATTTTCAGTTACATTAAAAGGATATGAATGCTTAGTTCCTCGCCAGAAGACTGAGGCGACACCTCTCTTGCCCAAAATGGTGAGCAGGAAGAAGTCGTGGGCGACGGATGGACGGACGGACATACGCAGGTTTTCAGATTAATGTGTATAGGATTGTGTAATAGATTCTTTTAGGTAATGCGACAACATAACAGTATTGGTGTCTTATTTCCAAAAATCTACGTTTTTTTTTTAAATTTTTGAACTATCCTCTTGAAATATCAACGTTTCAATTTTCTTCTCACTATGAAATTCGGGCAGAGAGCATTTCATATTTCTTTCTTTCTTGCCTTTCCGAAACATTACACCATGAATATACCAAAACGTTGGAATGCCAGTGCAGCACCTCGAAGAGCAGGAATTGGAACGCCGAAGAACGACTTGGAATCGCTGTTGAGGTCGCAGACTGCTAATAAAAATCGCTGAAGCATCTCCAAATAAGTGAAATGTATTTATCAAGACGTCTCTATTTACCCTGGCAGAAGTTATTCAAAGAGGTTAAAACAACACTTTCTCGCAATCCTCTCGAATTTCTCTGGTCTCGCGTAAACGAGCCCGCTGCGCCCATCTCCGGGTACCTCCTGAGTGGGGCGGTAGGCTCGCGAGCTAGCATCGGCATGAATGAGCCAGCGGCGGCGAAGGCAGCGGGGCGAGTCAACGGCCGGGCGGCGGCTCTGACCGCCCAGGAATGCCCCCCCCCCCGCCGCCGCCGCCGCCGCGAAGGACGCCGCGGGATGGCGAGGCCGCCGGCGACGCGACGCACCGCCCCGCCCGCTCGCCCGCGCCCGGAGCCCACCCGGCCCGGCCCACCCTGCCTCCGCGCACGGGGCAGAAGTGGGCCAAACGGGCCACGGCGCAGAGCAAACAGAATTCGAAGGAATCCACCAAGTAGTTAACCTACGTGTCCGTCTGGCTCGTTTGGAGCCATTCCGAACCACCATTTGGGGTAAAATGGAGTGCCAGTTGAGGGTCAATCGAGGTGTCATTCGAAGCGTCTCGATCTGTTGGTGGCATTCGGGTTATTTTTTCGTCTCTAATCGTATCTAACATTCTAGTCTAATTAGAAAATCTCAAATTAGTGAATAAATGAGAAAATGCTTTTAAAACCAATCCGGAACTTTGGCGACGCCACAATAGGCATTAGTGATAGTACTAGTAACTAACGCCCAATCACTAGATTGATCTTCGTTTGTCTTTTTGCTTCACAATGCAATTTAGAAATCGATTTAAGGTGCTGAATATAGTTTAAACAGTACTGTATGCGATATTTTATATAATTGTATCTTGCACACACTTCACTGACTTTTTCATTCAGTTTGTTAAGATTAACTGCCACGATGTCATCCAGAAAACTGTCACTACTTCATTCCTCTTTACTTTTTTTTTTTTGAGGACATAGATTTGATAGTTCAGGAGATGCAATGCCAGATTCTTTGTATTGAAAATGAAATTTAAAAAACAATAATGAGTTGTAAACTTTTCTTGAATTGTATTACTTGGTAGTGTGAAACGGAAAGACAATTTGTGAGTTTTTAACGAGATATACTAATTAATTAGAGACTAAAAGAATCGTCAAAGTCATCTGTATATACCCCCCCCCCCAAATTAGAATCTAAGAATTCAACAATCTATAGACAGGTCAGGTTGAAAATCTCCTGCTTACTTCATTAGGTCTGTAAGTCGTAGTTATTTTAGTCGAAAACCTGCGCATTTAGTGCCTTCGAAGACCTGTGCAGTCGTGAGTGCCATAGAAAGATGATAGAAAGACATGATTGATGGGATACAAATTACTGAATTTAAAAACATGTTGACACTGAACTCTCTGAATTTTTTAAAATTGAACACGTTGCAAACAATGCGAGAAAGAATGTGCTGATGAAATACTGCTAGTTTTAGCGAATAATTCCAGATATCAATATTTAATGAATTGTTGCTCTCCACAGAACTTCCGGGTGCGGTAAGAATTACACTTTACAATAACCGGCCTCTTAAGCCATTTTCGTTTTCGTTTCATTTTTTCCCTCTATTACATCACTGAATTTAAAAACGTGAAGTTCAATTTTTGGTTACCAAAGGTCTTGGTGCATGCTGTGCATACAACATTCCGCTTTTGTTTTACCCTGAAGCTGAAGCCTTCCGCGGCCAGTCATGTGGGTGATCTGGGCTGTCCGGGTGACGCCGTGTCGGAGGCTGTGTTGACGACGTTTCGACCATCCTATCGTGGTCTTCACCCGGACGTCACCCGGACAGCCCAGATCACCCACATACCCTGAAGCTGGCAAACTCAGAGACGCTCTACCCCCGCCACGGGTCGTGCCATCGCGCGCCCAGCTCCCTGACACGACCTTCCCGTCTCCTCCCCTCCCCGCCACGCCACACCACGCCACGCCACGCCACGCCACGCCACGCCACGCCACCTCGCACCGCGTTGAGGCCCGCGCCTACCCATCGCCACGCTCTACCACATGCGAAAATGTGTGTGTGTCTCTTGCGCTCAGAATTCGTACGGCGCGCGCTCTTCGATCAGGATATTGCCCGGCGTCGTGAAAAATGCATGCTTATGCGCACGAGAATCGCTATTGATTATCAATTTACGTGTCGTGGGAATATTGAGATAAGACTAAAAAATGGACGCTTACTCGCTGCTGCTTTGAAATATTCAGGTCTTCGCTGAATTCCAAACGATCTAGACGACTGATACAGGTTTTTAAATCGTTGAAGCGCCGTTTGAGGCCGCTTTCAAGAACTCAAGGTGTGGTTGCTACGTTACATTGACGCGTTTCATAATCAAAACAAAAAACGAATTGTTTGTATATGCGATGTCTGTTAAATTATTTATTGCCTGAATACAAACAATATCAAAGAAAACCATCACCCAAAAAATTCACTCATTACACTCGGAAGTATTGTTAGAATCACTGCAATATAATAAACTATGCTTAATTGAATATTATATTTTTTATTACAAACCTTTTGAAGATTCTTGAATACTATAATTTTACATAAATTAATGGTACATGTCAGTTTCTCTTGATAATATGTAGTAATAAAAAACTGTTACTCAAATTTTATACCTTTGAAGATCCTATAGATGAATTTTTCACTAGAGAACCTCTCTAACCGTTTCTCAAATTCAATTTTCTATGAAGTTTATAGATGGATGTTAACTAATAACAAATATCTCAACCCAAAAAGAAAGAATAAATAGACCCAAAAAAA